GGAGGAGAACAGATGGAGGAGGAGAACAGACTGAGGAGGAGAACAGACTGAGGAGGAGAACATATGGAGGAGGAGCAGAGTGATGATCCTGGAGAGAGGAGGGAGACCTTTGTCCACCAGCAGCAGTGGTGGAGCCAGGGGGTGGCCACTGGTGGCCCTGCCCCCATAGATTAATCTTTGGTCACCCCAGAACTTGAGAAAACTTTATTTTAAACAAAATAAAACTAGAGAGCTCAGTTTCCTCCAACGACCTGGTTCATGTTTAAACGTACAGATGTTTTTACGGCGGCGGACATTTTGGATTTTGACTCTTCTTCCCATTTTTCAAAAGGACCCTCAGACGTAGTCTCACACCCGGATGGACGTCAGTACTTCACTTCTTTTTCAAGTCCTGCTCTCAACGTGCGCAGATGGACGGAGGATGTTTCCACGCCCCCTCTTAATTCAGCAGCGGGGGCCGACAGTCCAAGTCCCCACAGACTGATTTGATCCTCATAAAGCTCTCATGGGTGCAGGCAGACCTGTGAAGGTTCTGCTGGACCCAGATCAGTCGGTGACATCATTCAGGTGTTCCGAAGCCGAAGGGAGGAGGTTCTTCAGCCTCAGACCGGCTGAGCGGTCCTGAGGGGGGCGGTGGAAACGGTTCCCTCTGTTCTTGGTTTTCTTAGATGAGACCCTGTTAGGCAGGACGAGGATTCAGTTTTTATTTATTCTGCACCAGGACCAGAGCCCGGAACCAGCTGAGGTCCTGGTTTTAGTTCTGCACTCTTCAGCTGTTGGACAGCGTTGGTAGAAAACTAGACGCCTGCTTTTATTTGCTCTTGGTCCATTTCAGTTTCCTGGACCTGCTGGTCTTGTTCAGGGACCGAGCTGGGGGGTCGCTCCAGATGTCAGACCCAGATGTTCTGAGTCAGACGTGGGTTTCTGAGGTCGTTCAGTGAGTTGAACCCTGACAGCTTCTTTCTGAACGTGTTTGTGAGTGGTGTTGCACCATCAGCAGGCTGTGTGGAGGAGGAGGAGGAGGAGGAGGAGGAGGCTTCACCTCCGTCCCCCTGCACCTGTGCCCGAGGTGTGAAGAGGATCTTCAGAGCGTCACTTTAGTCTGAGGAGTGTTGATCACAGAGAGGGGTTTTGATCTTCCAGATGAAGGTTTGGTTCAGGACGTGGCCTCGGAGGCAGAAGACTGAGATGAACCACCTCTGAATCTTGACCAGAACCAGCAGAACTAGAACCTGCTCCGTTGGATCCATTTCTTCCAGTAAAGACCTGAAGTCTCGACCCTCCTGGTCCACATGGATGCTGAAGATTTGACCCAATTGTACGTTTGCAGCCGTGATCTCCTCGTACCAGGAGGTGTTGGGCCGTTCGAACCCCCTCCACCTGCTTCAGGCTCCCTCTGGTACCTGCTCAGGGAGACGCCCGGAGGCTGATGGTCTGATCTCCAGACGTAAAGCTTTGAATCAAAGATGAGCCGATCTGAAGGCGTCCGGAGCTGCAGACCTCTGGATCTGGATCTGGATCTGGATCTGTTCAAATCAGACATGAAGATGTTTGTAAGAAACAGAAGCAGGTGGTTCCACAAGCAGCTGCTTCACGAGTCTGAGCCAGGTGGGGGTGTGCAGCGGTGACCCAGCAAAGCTGATTCAATGTGGCGGTGGCTCAGCGTGTGTCAGGCCGTGGAGGCTCGAACGTTTGATAGCAGTCGTTTTGTACCCAGCTTGTACAAAAGAGCTTCACGCTCATCTTCACCTTCTGATCGTCCAACGTTCAGCCTGATGAAACGTTTTTTTTTTATCGTCAGGCGTTCTGGAAGCTTCAGGGCTGTTCAGCGTTGGAGGAAAGAGTTGGTTGGCGTCGCTGCAGCACCCCCCCCCCCCCCCCCCCGAGCCAACAGATTACTGAGAGATGCTCCCACTCCAAATCTGTTCCACTTCCCACCGAGCCACAAAAGCAGCTGAGCGTTTCAAACGTCGCATTCTGGGGTGTTGTTCTTTTTACACCATAACGTCTAAACAGATGTTTAAAACAGATGTTTTAAACATCTGTTTTTAAACTGAAGTTTTAAACATCTGTTGTAAACTGATGTTTTTCATTCGTTACAGTTTGTCTAAAAATGACGACAGCTCTCGAGGCGCTCGACGGGTCGAACAAAACCAACGGGTTCTGCTTCATTTTTGTAAAAATCTGAACTGATGTGATTTGTTGGAGCTCCCGCCGTCAGCGCTCCTGTTCTTTTTGCTTTAGACACATTTTAATCTTCATTACGTAACTCTGCATTACACCTCACTTATTACCTGCAAAATAACATTTTATTTAATTATCTTTTAAATATGTTTCTGTCCTTTAACAAAACAAAGAGAAGGAGATATCCTCTTTTATTTGAATAAACACGACCCTGAACACTAATGTTAGTGAAGTCATTTTACTGACGGATGATCAAAGGGATATGGAGATTAAGAACAGTTAATATCTTACCTGTTGTAGATAGTTTAATTCTGATCAGACTGTCTGTAAACAGATACAGTCTCCAGAACTTTACTACAACTGTTCTGTAAACGGTTCAACATTATTTATATTGAACTCAGTGGTTGTTTTCCAGCGCAGAGCGTCAGCAGCAGCTAGCTGTAGCACTTGTGGCACAAGTTGCACAACATTTCTCCCAGAAGATCCTTTAAATGAGAAATCAAAGCGAGTATGAAAGTTAAATGTGTGAACTGCTATAAAAATTTAAAAATGAGACGTTTGATGGAGGAGTGGGTCCACCATTACACATCTTCAGTCATCCATCCATCCATCCATCCATCCATCCATCCATCCATTATCTGTACCCGCTCCTTCCTTTCCGGGTCATGAGGGTCACTGGTCTCCAGTCATCAAACTTTCATTATTTAAACATTTAGACCCGTCAGTTTTACATGGTGTAGGGGCAGGGCAGCCGACTCAGGAACCAAAGGTTCTGGGTTCGATCCCCGGTCATTGCACATCTCATGGTGTCTCTGAGCAGGACGCCCAATCCCAAATTGTTCCCCGGCCCTTACATAGCTGCCCACTGCTCCACCTGGGTGTATCCCAGGTGCGATGGGTTAAATGTAGAGAGACAATTTCGTCTTTGTATGGGAACATACAATGACAACACATAACACATTATTATTTATTATTTTAGCATAAATATTGCGATAGTCCAACCAGAAGTGCTACTGCTAGCTGCTGCTGAACGCAAACGACCACAGAGTTTCCTTTAGTTGGCCCACGTGACGTGGAACTGACAGAGGTGTCAAAGTTTAGAAAAACTTTTAATCCTGGAGAAGTTTTCAGCCAATCTGCTTTGATCTCATTCAGACTAGCCTTTAGCTCATCAGTCTGGTTTGAATTCAACTCTGTTTCTGCAACAGGTAAGATATTAACTGTTCAGAACCCACTTTAAGATGTTCAAAACATCCTTTAAAGCTACTTTACTGCAGCTTCCATCTCGTGTCCGGCCCAGAACTTCTGATCCACTCCAGATAATTTGACCAAACTTCACACATAATCGTCACTAGACGGAGTGTTGCATAATCTGTTTTTATCACCCCAGCTCTAATGTCAAGGTCACGAATCAAGGTCATAATTTACCCAAGCGCTTTCCTTGTTCGGGCTGCCCCTACAGATTGATGTAGGACAGTTTGTCGAGGAGCGTATGACGCACCGTATGAGGCGCTCTTTACATTTAGGATTAGTAAGATGTGAAGGTCACAATCCTCCTTTCACAATAAGACGTTTTAAACAGATGTTTGTGTTGTTCTGCCCTGCAGGAGAGGCTGGTGTTATCTGTGCTGCCGCGCTTTGTAGTTTTGGAAATGATCAACGACATGACAAATGTAGAGGATGAACACCTCCAGCATCAATTCCACAGAATCTACATCCACCGCTACGAGAATGTCAGGTGAAACGCCGCAAACATCTTTCAAGTTTCTTTCTTCATCAGACGTTTGATAATTTCATGGAGTTAAAATCAGAAGTTTGATCATTTCATGGAGTTAAAATCACAAGTTTGATCATTTCATGGAGTTAAAATCAGAGTTTTGATCATTTCAGGGAATTAAAATCAGAAGTTTGATCATTTCAGAGGGTTAAAATCAGACGTTTGATAATTTCAGGGAATTAAAATCAGAAGTTTGATCATTTCAGGGAGTTAAAATCAGAAGTTT